TTTTTTTTTTCTATATTTTTTTTTTCTCTCCTCACTTAATTGATGTACATGTATAGATAATATATATATATGTGTGTGTGTGTGTGTGTGTGTGTGTGTGTGTGTGTAAATAACTAACTTCATATACGTATAAATTTTTTATTTCTATTTTTTTCTCTTCTCACTTAATCAATGTATATGTATAATGTATATTACATATATATGTAAACAACTATTTTCATATCATTATATATATATATATATATATATATATATATATATATATCACTATATACACGTATAAGTTTTTTTTTTTTTTTTTTTTTTTTTAGTCATTTTAGAGCATGTAACTATTTGTATATATGTATACTAGATAAAACTAAGGAGAGTATATAAAAGGGGAGAGATAAGAAAAGGTTAAAGGGCAATTTTGTCTTAAAATTTTTTATTTTTAATTTTCAGAAAGGCATGAGGCATCTCATAAATGTACGTGTAAATATAAGAGTTGTGACTAATAAGATTATGGAAGGACAGTCGCGAACGAGCGCGACTGCAATTAGCACTCTTCATATATGTATATGTATATATATATTTCTTTTCTTTTTTTTTTTCTCTCCTCCTCAATGACGTGATTTAGTTCCTTATCAATATTTTAATGTTGCGTTTAAGAGGAATTTGTCACAATCCTTTAAATAGAAGAAAAGGCATACTTTTGTTTAATATGAAGCAGAAATTCGGTTCCTTGCCCTTTCTGCATTATTTTCCTTTTAGTTAAATTGAAACATATTATTGTTTTTGAGTTAAATTTGATCTCCACAATTTCTGCTGTTGCATTTTGATTAATCTTGTCCAGTAACTTTCCTCTTCGATTATTATGTGGTTGTTTTGGTGACCAAAGTTGCTTCATGCATCTCAAATACCCAATAAAGTTTAGTTGAGGTTTATATATAGCACATCAAAATCAGGAACATAATAGTTTGATGTGTAGCATATATTTGTGGAAGCATTTCAAATGAATGATTTAAAGCAATTGCGTTTCTCCCCCTCTCTCTCTGGACTCATCATTGGGCTTTTGCCCCAAATTAGTGGTTTTTCTCTTCCAACATTTAGGGCTGTCTTACGGCCCATATTTGGGGGCCTAAGCCTCCATTCCCAGCCTGCTACAATAGCCCCATTCAAGAGAACTGACTTTAATTTATTTTCTTTTTCTGTTTTCTTTCTTCTTCTTCTTCTTCTTCTTCTTCTTCTTCTTCTGGTTCTTTTTTTTTTTTCAATATATAATATTTGAACACTCCTACATTTCTAATCATGTCCTTAATTTAAAAATAACTTTAATTAAGTATTATAAACACTTAAAATGACACATCTTATACCCATCATGAGTTGTCCCGTAATAAAACCAGTTGTTGTTGATACCTTCTTCTCAGTTCCTTCTTTTCCTTCTTTCATAGCCTGAGCTCGTACAAGGAAGAGATAAGAGGGCCCTGTGGAGAATGTGGTCAGAAATCCATAATAGAGTCCAACCACAATGACCGAATTAATTATTTTCATGCATAAGAATACTGGATTACCTAGTAGAAAAGATTTAAAAATCATCACAAACCTCCCTTTTTTCTTTTCTATTGCAATTTCTGGATTATTATATGATGATTTTTTAACTTTTCAAATATAGAGCATATATAAAATTAAAAAAAGAGAGACCCTTGGTCTACAGACTCGGGGTTGGCTCGCGACTTGGGCGGTCGTCTAAGAGCCCAGCCAATATGAAGGTCCCAAAAATTTAAAATTTCCTTCGTATTAAGTTATACTATAATTATTTATTAATATTGTTAAACTCTAATAAATATAAAAAAATTTATATTAGTTCTCAAAGATTTATATCCTAAAATAACTTTTTTTTTTTTGTCTCTCCCTACTTATTTTGATTTTATATTAGGTCTCAAATATTTATATCCTAAAATAACTTATTTTTTCTCTTTTCTCTCTCTCCTCATTCATTCCAATTTTACATTAGGCAGGCCTCTTTTCAACAAGTCTTCTCCTCCTACTCTCATTATAAGTTTATAGTTGTTATGAACGTATTTTTATTCTATTGAAAAATTTATAAAATTATTGGATTTTGATTTTCTAAATCAGGTTTAATGGTTCTTTTTATTTAATTACTTTTTTAATTTTATTTTTTCTAAATAAGGTTCAATGATTCTTTTTTTTAATTATTTTTTAATTTTATTAACTTTTGTTATTACAAATTTGTGTGTATATATATTTGTATATTTTGTTTTTGAGTTATGGCTAATTTTTTTTATATGGTTAAAAATGCCACTTTTTATTTTTCGCCCGCCCCAGATTAGATTGAGCCGCCCCTGTACATACTCTACACATTTCAAAGACTCACCCAACACATTGCGCACCCTTTGTGTTGTATAAGACATTATGAAAATATTTGAAAGTGTCCAACCTCTTTTTCTTTAAGAAAAATAAAATGACATTAAACACATTTTTTATGTAATGAACAAATATAAGAGTAATATTATATATAAAATAATATATATTTAATTTTATATATTTGAATAACTTCATAATTTAACTTAAATATTAGTTGTATTACGTCATGTTGAGGAGTGTCATGTATACGTCAGAGGACCAACCAAGTCAAGCCACGTGTACTGTAAAACTATTTGGTCTTTATCAAAGGGGAAAAATTTGAACTCTACCACGTATTCGAGTCAATGTCCATGCTTGGCAAGTAGTATATCAACACGCTGAGACTATGAAAATTCTATTGAATGGTAGGTTTAATGTTATATTCATTCTTGAATTTCCAAGAAGGAAAAGAAATAAAAAAATATTACATTCATTGGGCATTATATTACATGTTGCTGTTGAATAAATATACATGAAATTCCAAATCTTTCCGCATATAATGTAGCGGAATCAATTATTGTAATTATGTCTAAAGCAAATCGATACGTAGATATTTTACCGCACATAATTTGATATAAATAAATTTTTAGAAATTTTTATTGAAATTTTGAAAATCATTTAACACAAGTTTTGACTTGTTAAATAATTCTAAGTCAGCCATCATTATTAAAAATGCTTAATATTATACTTTCTACAAATTAATGAATAACATACTAATACCATGTACCAGAATTAAAAAAGAAAATATATTAAAAAAGTATGTTTTGTCTAATTATAAAATAAAATAGATGTAAAAAAATAAATTTTATTACATTAAATTTTATTATAATTTTTATTATGTATTTACAATAAAAGAAAATTCATGGCAAGAAAGAAATATTATAAATAAAGTCAAGAACCAAAATCCAATTCCACAACTTCCAACAATCTAGAAGGGAAAGTTGGACAAAAGATGTCTAACGGCAGAAATCTGTCAAACAATGAGTTGATTGATCTCTATCGATTGTTGTTGTTATCCCCTCCTCTTAAGAAACGAGTGTGAAAGGAATAGTTATACTCCAAAAGTGAACACATTAACTGCTTTAAAGAATAAGTTGATATTTATACTAGTCACAGATTGAAAACCAACAATAATAAATAAATAAATAGCTGAAGACAATTTTTTTGGTACAACCCTCTTTTTCTTTGGTGATGGAATTATTTATTTTATTAACTGATTGAGATTTGATTTCTTAGTAAGAGTTATGTAATTAAGTGGTATTTTTTAATATTTTAAAGTAAAAGGTTGAGATTTGATTTCTTATTAAGAGTTATGTAACTTAGTGGTATTTTTATATATTTTAAAGTAAAAGGTCTATAGTTTAAGTCTTTATAACAACACATAGGTGTGAGTGTGTTTCTTGTCTTAATATTTTATTTTATTTTTTTTTATTTTTTATTTTATTCCTTCTCCATCCAAATCCTATATGGGTCAGACCATAATGGCTATCTGGGTATTAGACTCGAACACCTTGGGTTGGACGCTTGGTATAATGGATTAGACATTTGTCTTTTGATCCAAAAACTTAAGTTATTGCATAATGTTGTATATCCACCTATATATACTTAACACTTTACTATCCGAATCCGATGTAGCACAATAACAAATCTTGACATTTTAAAGTAAAAAGTTAACGATTCAAGTCTTCTTAGGAACAAAATGTGAATATGTGAGTATGTTTCTTATTTTGACAAAAAAAAAATAAAAAAATTGATTCCTTCTCCATCCAACTCTTATATGGGTAAGACCATAATGGCTATTTGCACATGAACATCTTTGAATCGGACGGTTGGTGTAATGAGTTGGACGTTTGTCTTCTGACTCAAAAATTTAAATTATGCAATAGTATCACATATCTGCCCATGTGTACTCAAGTACGAACACAAAAGGAAGTGCAACTTGTCTAAAGAGGAAGTAGAGCTACAAATATTGAATTATTTTCGGTTTAATTGAAATAATTCGTCAAATACATTCATTATGTTTCACATGTGATATGTTCCTTTTATTTTACAGTACGTACAGGAAAGTTGAATAAAAATCACAAAGCTAATAATAAATTTCCATATGCATTTGATCTCCACAATTTATGCGGTTGCAATTTGATTAATCTTATCCCGTAACTTTCCTCTTTTATCAATAAAGAGAAAACTTTGATTATTATGGGGTTGTTTTGGTATTTAATTATTGGATGGCACAAGTCACAAAGTTGCTTTATGTATCTCAACACCAATACAGTTTTAAATATAGCACGTAAAAATTAGATTTATTAAGGTAAAGTACAATTCAAAAGTAGACGAAGGCAACCTAAAATTGATCAAAGTACCTTGACCATTTAGGGGACCTGTTTAATTTTACAATATAAAAAATTGGACCAATCCATTACACCAAAGTTTATGCACCGATAAGTATTGTAGTTCAAATGTTTGTGTTGACATGATAGCATTTGGTTATATCAATTTTATATATATATATATTTTATATAAGTAAAGCATTTTTTTATATCATGAAATGCAATTTAGATTTGGAACACACTCCAATGATTCTTTACAACGAAACAAGATAACAAATACTAATTGCATTGAACTGGATTCTTTATTTATTACAAACAAAAAAAAACACACAACTGACAATTGATAACTGACAACACAATAATGCTATTAACAGAGTTTCGTTTGCGGCAAGATTCATGAACTTTTCGTTTTTAATCACGGAATTGAAAGATGTATGAAAAGATTCATTACACTTTTTACCCATCTAAAAAAATAATCTCAATTCAATGATAAAATAATACAGAGCCCATACTTCTTGCTGTGACGAAGCTCTCTGGATAGCGTTACTCTGTTACATATGCTTATGCCATAAACACAGACTGCTTAACCATAAGAACCAGTTCAGAACCACCCACTCGTCCCAACAGTTTGGACCACCGCTGCTTAGAATCACATCTCACCCAGCAAAATAGGGATGCGCCACATGAAACGCATGACCAAAATGAAACAAATGGAAGAAAAGGTGAAGGATGTGCGCGAACCAATGCCACATCTGTTTTGAACAATAACCATAATAAAATTAGAATATATTCAAACATTCGGACTATAGCATATACCAACCTACAAAAACACAACCTTTAAAAAAAAAAAAATGAAGCTTTACAATTAAATATTGAAGAGAAAAGAAGAAACTCTGTTACCTTGATTGAGAGAGAGAGAGAGCGCTCAGTAGAGCTAGGGAGCAGAAATCACAATGAAGAGATATAGCTCAAAAATGTCTCTATTTAAAGGCTGTTTGAATAGCACACCACCCTTCCTTCCCCACGTCATCCTTAGATTTTTTTTTCACGTCATCATAGATTATTGTGTTATATTGTGTGGTGTATGTTAGTGGAATGGGGAAGACGCAAAGCTCAGTGTTCCACAATACAATAGAATGCGTTTCTAACTCTCTCTTTTATTTATTACAAAGGCAAGATCACGGAAACTTCTATGGAAGTGCCTAAATACGTGTCAAATATGATACTCCTAAACACTGTGTTAAATACGTTTCGTCAACTTATATATAATTATATATATTTCAGGGACACTTGGTCTATCCACACTCCACTAACACATCACACACTCTTATATAAAACACAGCATGATAGTTTTAAAAATAATATTATAAACGGACATCATAAGTATCCAACCTCTTTTTTCTTTAGGAGAAAAAATGAAAATTGACATTTGGCTTCATCTTGTGTAAAGCACACCAGGATTGTCCTAGAAAAACTTTATTAATATTATATTTCAACTAAAAAAAAAAAAAAACATTATAAACATGCATCTAAGTGTTGAAACTCTTTTTCTTTGAAAAAATAACATTTAGCACATGTTATGTAATGAACAAAAATATAATTATAAAGACAAAATAAAAGGGTAATATAATCATCCTTCACAAATTTTTATTTCTTTAAATATGGACCGAAAAAAGGGAAGAAAAATTAGACTATTATAAAAATTTTAAATTACAATATCATCCTTCATAAATATTAAATTAACCACACAAACAAAGTAATGAATGAGTATAATGATAAAAAAAAAAAAAAAAAAAAAAAAAAAAAAAAAAATTATACCCAACAAAGTAAATTATCAACTTTATCTCTTTCTCCTCTATATGACCAAACAAAAAAGAGAAAAAATAAAATATTTTTTTTTAGAAATGTTTGATTCATCCATTCTTCTCTAACTTTCATCTAATTTTTTTCTTTCTACTGAACGAATCATTACTCAATATGAATCATGACTCAATATAAATATGAATAGTGATACTAATTAGGCGAATTGCTAAAGAGAATTGCCTGATCAAATTTGCAAGATATATATACAACAAAAAAATAAATAAATAAATAAAGTGTGTGAAAATTCAATTTATATTTTACATACATAATGAATCAAAATTATTCGGTATAATAATTTACTACAAGTGATCGTCCTTAAAATTATTTTCTTATAAGAATATATATAAATAAAAATTTAAATTTATGCCGTGTCAGCAAACGAATTTATTAGAGGACCGATCAAGTCGAGCCATGTGTAACTCACCAACGCAAAGGCCAACCTACTTCATCTTTTGGCTGGTGGAAGTGTTAAAGCGGAGAAGACATTTTTTTTGTTTTTTTTTTTGAGAAGTAAACGATGTTGACAATGCTCATGAGTCATGACTGATCTAGTCTTCCAAAAGTCTGCTGGTCGGTTTAACGCTATATTCACTCATTATATTAAATGCGGCTGTTGAATTGCGAAAAATCCCCCATTATTAATCAGTTGTGAAAAGTTTTCCTTAACTACGTATTTTTAAGTATATTCATTTAAGTAATTATTTTTTAAAAAAATTGAACGAAATTACCTCTTAACATATTATTTTTCAAAAAAATTATTTATTTTTTTCTTTCTTCTCTCTCTCCGTCAAGTAGGTATCTGAAGCAGCAAAGAAAAATTTCTAAAAAAAAAAAAATTTGAAAAACCAATAAAATCATATTTAAGTTATATATAGTTAATAATATAAAATTGAGTACGACCTTATAGGAGGGAGAAAATCCACCATGGTGGTGGAATAGGAGTTCAATACACTTGATCTTTAGCAGCCATTATAATAGTTAATTATTTTTAAAATAATAATTAATAATTTGCCATGTTTCCTTCCTCCAATTTCTTTTCCTTAAAATTGAATTATGTTAGGGCAAGGTAAAGTGGACTAAAATAGACAATTAAAAAGTAACATAATTTCTTTTCCAAATCCGTGTTTTTTTAAAAAAATATTTACTTCGAGAACACAAAATATCCCAAAGTAAAATTTTGACACGAAATTGTTGTAGTTAATGTACTAAAGTTAAAAAACCTAAAAATATGACAGCTTTTAATGTGAAAGGATATCGTTACCCTCTATTCAATTTACAAGAATCTAATTATAAAGGACATTTAAGTCATTTATAGTTTGAAAGAAATTCATTTATCATCTCTATCATTTATTGTTTTGATTCCACCACCTACTTTCAAAAATTACATACTATGTGTAAGATGTATAGGGGATGTATAGGGAGAGTTTACTCACTCTTATTATTAAGATGGTTTTTTTTTTCTTTTTTTTTTTGTTTTCAAATTATTATTATTAAGATGGTAAGAAAGGAAAAATAACATTTTTTACATAGAAATGATTTGTTCAATTACATGGATGAAATCCTAACCAAAAATAATAATAATAATATAAATAAATAAATAAAAATAAATCTTAGATTAAGTGAATATAATTGAGTATTTTGGGGACTCAACTATTATCTACATGTCCTATATCATAAGTAGAAGAATAATCTGTTAAATGAGTCCTATGCTGTCCGTGTCTGGGCTCCTGGGCTTATTCATTTAGTGCATCTACGAGGAGAGAAAGAAGAGAAAAAAATAAATAAAAATAGATAGAAAGATAATATCATCTAGAAAGAGAGATATAATTTTTTTTTTTTTATAAAGATAGACTATAAGCATATTCAAACAAATTCATTTAGTGTTCAAATATACACAAAACTATTAGTGACATTCTTGTCAAACAAAAAGGGGCACTTTTTAATTTTTATTTTAAAAATAAAATCACTAACAACTCGTTTAAATTTGGGCTGATATAATGGCCTACCAATATATTATTATTATTATTATTTTTATTTTTTTAAAAAAATTTTACTTTCAACAACACATTTATGTGAAGCCAAAGAGATGGTTTAATGGGTTGTAACAACAAATATATATATATATATATATATATATATATTTTGGTATCAAAAGGAAAAAAAATATTCAAAAACTATATGACTGCAACAACACCACAAGCTGGAAAGAAACAAAAAAAACAACTATTGCATAGAACTGGATTACAAACACAAACTTGCAACCAGTATTAGCTGTGCTTAATCACGCTAAACTACTCGAAAACTACTAGAAAGTATCAAACACATTGAACCACAAATGACCCAAGACCATGATATTCAGAAACCACCACGGAGGCGAAGCACCAAGTGAAGGGTCGATTCTTTCTGGATGTTATAGTCAGCCAAGGTCCTCCCATCTTCCAACTGCTTCCCAGCAAAGATCAATCTCTGCTGATCAGGAGGAATGCCCTCCTTACCTTGAATCTTAGCTTTGACATTGTCTATGGTGTCAGAGCTCTCCACTTCCAAAGTGATGGTTTTTCCCGTAAGGGTGTAAGTGCAAAATTTCGCTCAACCAATAATGATTGAGGAAAATAAAACAACTCACTCAAAAACAATAAAAATCAATAAGAACAATGTGTAGAGAAGTGTGGAATTGCTTGATCCTTTATTGGAGGTCTTAGCCTCTATTTATATACAAAAAATTGCGAAATTATGGTAGGACTTGCGTTACTTGCCCTCCAATTCTTTCTATATAGTCATTCTTTTCTAATAGAGTTCTTTCCATTGTCGAATTTTCCATACATAGACCTTGCCTTGTACAGAACTTCCTATTAGAATTTTCCTTATAAGGTAATTCCTTCAAATGGTAGGACTTGTGTATTGTTGGGCTGAATATATTTCGATCCGGCTGGGCTTGAATAACAGGCCGGATGTTAAATACTCATAAGCTGGGCTGATGACTTCTTGATTCGGCCTTGATGGAAGTTGGAGGACAAATTATAATGGTCTTGGGCTGTAAGTATGCTCAATTTGGGCTTGAACATGATGGGCCTTAAATGCCCTTGGAATGTAGATATGTGTGGTGGTGACGTGTGCGTTTTTTATTGGAGTGAGTTTTTTTCCCTCCACACTTTGCCCCAAATTCCATTTTTAATTGAGTGACGGCTCCTATTAAAGAGGGAATTGAAACCGGTTTTTACTTTGCTTCAGAAACGGTTCGTGGTCTTTCATTATTAATCCGTCACATAAGACTTTGCAAGAGTTATATGTGCCCTTGCTGCACTTCTGCGTCCTTCATTCCATCGCTTCCATCGCTTTGTCAGGTTAGTTTCGCATCTTTCTCTTCAATCTTTCATTATGAGTACTTCATCTACTCCCGAACGTGTAGACCTTGGGGATTCTGAATCCACACCTTCATCTTCCCCCATTCGCATTAGGGCTCCCCCTCCTAGGGTTTCTACAGATCGCCCTTCGTTGAATCCATCAGGTACTTCCCCTCTTCCAACCGAAACATCCACCTCAGGCTCTGATTACGTTCTTACCCATGAAGAGAAGAAAGCAATCATCTCTATTCGCCGCATCAAATTCTCTATTGCTTCAGTAATGGAAGAATTTGATGTTCCTGAAGGAGTAGAAATTGCAGAATATCCCGAGGGTGCCGATTTCACCTCCGGCGAAGGAATTGAGGAGGATGAGTTGCTTCTTTCGGTAGGGCACCTTAACGCCCTCCGATTCCCTCTTCATCCCTTCTATCATTTAGTTTTCAATAAGCTAGGTCTTGCACCCCTTCAAGTAAATCCCAATTTCTTTCGCATCCTTTCGGCATTGTTGGTGCGCCGGAAATTAGAGGCTCTGGATTTGACCCTTGCCGACCTTCTGCTTACTTACAATATATCTAAGCATGGGACCGAGCCTGGTCGCTTCTTTTTTACCTCTCCCCTTCATCAAAGGATATGCACGAACCTTCCTTCATCCGAAAAGAAATGGAAAGAAGGGATGGTTGTAGTTAAAGGAAAATGGTTCGTGTCCCAATCAATTGCGCTTCCCATCCCGCGCAAATTCGAGAAATTAGGTATAGAATATTTAACCTCCCTTCATACCAAGTGTTCTGGCTGTTTTCCTTGCCAAGTCTTAATATTTCGCCGTATTTATGAATTTCTTGATGTTTTTTCAGCTACATTCCCAGCCTCCGCAGCAAGGAACAGACTTTCTTTTCTTGAGGAACGAGTCTGGAGTGACCCCTCGCCTATCGAGGACCTGCAAACTTCTTCAAACCTCAAGGACATTGCTTCCAGTGCCATTGCTACAGACCTCATGGATCTGTCTCTACCATCCTTTGACAGTTTCCCTATGACTGAGGAGGAGATACGGAGGGCTGAGGCTTTAAAAAAGAAAGCCGAATATACCCAACCCTTGGTCGTCATTGGATCAACTGAGGATGAGGTGGAGGTTGAGGAACCACCATTGAAGAAATCTCGCCTCAACCCCTCTTCCTCTGGCAAGGGCAAAGTCCCTTCTAAAAGCAGAGGGAAAAAGGCTGGAGAGGCCGAACCTGAAGATGAAGTCAGGGCCTTTGTTCTTGCTGAGACTGGGGCTCCTTGGACTCCTTCCTTCACCAGGGCTGACAGGTCAGTCCTGCACTCAGGGGATTCTGTGGTTACAGACCCTTCAGCTGCACTGGCGGTGGCTCGAGGAATGTGGCTCCCAAAGGACGAGGAAGCCATCAGCCAAATGGGGTTGGAGCAACTACTCCCCTCTGCTCCAGTCCGGGCCATAGAGGTTCGCATTGCTCCTTCATAATTAAGTTACTCTTGCTTGCTTATGTTTTTATTTATGCTTATATTTGCTTCCCTGTTAAACAGAGTCTATACCATACCATGGCCCTCTGCGCCACTGCTGAAGCTCAATCCCTCTCCATCAAGAATTTGGAAAAGGATCTTGAAAATACAGATAAGAGAGTCACTACTGCCTCTACCAATCTGAAGATAGCTTCTGAAGCCAAGGATGCGTACAAGAGGCAGTTGTCAGCCTCTGAGGCTAAGGTGGATTCTCTTCAGGCCGAGGTTCAACGCCTGACCGAGGCTCTTACTACCTGCTTCAAGGCGGGGAAGCAAATGCAAGGGCGCTACTCCTGTCTGGCGCACTTGGCTAGTGCTAAAGCGTTCCGGTCTGGCTATAATCAGGGTTCAGGCCCTAAGACGATGGATCCGGACGCCTTTGACAAGAAAGTGGGGGTGCACTTCCCATATGATGAAGGGCCAGAGGATTTGGAAGCTGAAATCCGCTTTGCCGAGATGGTGAAGGCACATCTGAAGAATACTCCCAGCTCCCCTGCTCCTGCGGCTTCAACTCCTCCTACCTCAAGTCCTAATGTAGTGGATGCTTTTGAATCTACTCCCTTCGATCCGAAGAGGAAGTAGAGCCATGTACTTTGTTTTTATGAACAGCTTGTTTTGGGATAATGAATATACCTTTTCGTTTTAGGCTTGTCTGACTTGCTTTTGTTATATGTTCTTGATACTGTTCATATTTCTCTGTTTGGTAATGTGTTTAAACATTAAACATTGTCTTTATGCTTCGGATTTATGCTATCCGTGAAAACGCAAGGGTTGTGAGAAGAAGGAGATCTTTTTTTACCGACAAAAACCCGTACTCGAAAATAAAATATTTTGAGTACGGGTTTTTCTGGTCCAAATGTATACAGTTTAGTTGATATCGCAGGATGATTCGTATGGACAATGATTTAACTGTTAAATGAACCCTCCTCGCCTTTTACTTGCCTTCAGTAGACGTATACATACTCTTTCCTTCTCATGTGTTCCTGATGTGGGGTGGAGTATGATGAACTTATGACATATCCGCATACACAAGGTATTAAACACTTGGAGTCCGGAGGAAAGAGTTCTGATCTGGGTATCAAAGGTCTAAAGCGAATTACTCCTTGGCACTGAGTGTGGAGGACTAGTGCTGAATAGGACACTTAGGGTCCGAAACTGTCTCGGATACTCAGGATCCGAGGCGAATTATTCCTCGGCACTGAGTGTAGAGGAATATTGCTGAATAGGACACTTAGGGTCCGAAGCTGTCTCGGATACTCAGGATCCGAGGCGAATTATTCCTCGGCACTGAGTGTGGAGGAGTATTGTTGAATAGGACACTTAGGGTCCGAAGCTGTCTCGGATACTCAGGATCCGAGGCGAATTATACATTCCCTGGCGTGGAGCCGGAGGGGGGTTTTGCCGAGCCGAACACTTAGGGTCCAAGGCGAGATTTTCGCCGAGCCGAACACTTAGGGTCCGAGGCGAATGACCTACTCTCCGGCGCTGAGCCTGAGGGGAGGTTTAAATGAATCACTCCCCGGCGCTGAGCCAAAGGGGAGGTTTTGCCGAGCCGGACACTTAGGGTCCGAGGCGAGAGAACTACTCCCCGGCGCTGAGCCTGAGGGGAGGTTGTGCCGAGCCGAACACTTAGGGTCCGAGGCGAATGACCTACTCTCCGGCGCTGAGCCTAAGGGGAGGTTTAAATGAATCACTCCCCGGCGCTGAGCCAGAGGGGAGGTTTTGCCGAGCCGGACACTTAGGGTCCGAGGAGAGAGAACTACTCCCCGGCGCTGAGCCTGAGGGGAGGTTGTGCCGAACCGGACACTTAAGGTCCGAGGCGAATGAATTACTCCCCGGCGTTGAGCCTGAGGGGAGGTTTATCTCATATTTTTCCTCAAATCACTTATTATGAGGCCGAAGACTCAAAAATGATAGGAGGCCAAGAAAGCGAGTAACAATGGCTGTGAAGTTCTCCATTTGTCGACTTTAGAGACCTGCCTCCACTGATACTCCCTTCTTGGCAGCCAAATGTTGTGGACCACGCATATATGAACCGCATTTCTTTTCTATTTCTATCCGATGTGGGACATAGACTAAATGTTGTCAAAAAGGTCGGTGTAAGGAATGCCTCTGGTATTGAGCTTGACAGCCTTAAATACCAGTGGGCCCTCCTTACACCGTAATTAACTATTTGAATATTCCCATATATAACAACATGTGGCACATACTGTTTTGTCGATGTGGGATAGAAAGTTTTAAGCACAGGCCATAATTCATGTGTTTTGTGTCTTGTGTGCTTGTTGGTTTTTGTGTTTGTGTTTTTGTTCTTTTTGTGTAAAAATCATTGTAAATGCTTTGCTTCTAACGCATAGTGCGACTTGGCATGCGCATAAAAGTTGCGTAATCATAGAGTTCGTATGACCCCTCATTTGTATAAAAAGAAACAAAAATAGAGAAGAGTTGTATTGAATATAGAAGCAAAATAAAGAAAAGTTTGGCTGACTGTGGACATATTCAGCCTTATTTGTGAAGAACTTGTAGCAAAATTGACAAACTTAACTAATGGAAATACCTTTTCAGGTGTATTGCGTTCCAAGGACGCGCAATGGGACGTCCGCCAGCTTCGGCCAAACGATATGCTCATTTCCCCACTACTTCGGTAACTCTGTAGGGTCCGGTCCAATTAGGTTCCAGTTTCTTTACATGAGCTGTCTCCTACTTCAA